CCATGTGGTATATGTGTGTGTGGTATATGCTTCTGCTTGTGTGTAGTATATGTGTATATGTATATGTACATGCACGTGTAACATTGCAAGTATGTGCATGTATGTTATATGTGAAATATGTTTGTATGTATATGTGTGTGGTGCTCATATATGTGCCTGTATGTATGTGGGGTGGGGGTGTGTGGGGTACATGTGTTTACGTGTGCGGTATGTGTGTATAACTCAATATTTTAACAGCCTGCTTAGTTGTTTAGCTAATGTTCCCTTGCCCTGGTGTTCAGCCTCAGTAAAGCAGGTCACTTCTCTTTGTCTTTGGGACTTATAGTAATACACCAAGTGGATTTAGAATAGTTCTGGACTTGATTTCAGTCTGCACTCCTAATCCAATCCATGCTGATTCTGGAGGGATCTTCTGGAAGCACAGATGTGAATACATGAGTCCCATCCTTCAATTCTTCTAGATACTTCCCCTTTTCTTGGGCATTAAGACATGCTCCAGCTGAATGTGCCACTGCAGGCCTAGAACTCTAGCTACTCAGGAGGCTGTAGCCAGTGGATCACATATCCAAGGCCTGACTGCTTTGCAAAGGGAGTTGGATTCAGCTTTGACAATTTTGTGTCTCAACAATTAAATGGTAGAAAACAAGGCTGAAGCTATAGCTCAGTGGTAGAATGCTTGCCTGGCATATGTAACACCTTGGACTCTGTCCCTGGCACTAAACAAACAAAGGGTACAACCCCTGCTGCTTGAGCTCCTGGGCCCTCAGCCCTGGTCACAGTCTGCGCCAGCATTGGTTTTGCTCAGTCCTTGCCAGCTACCATGGCTCTCTCCCAATCTCTCACACATTTCATTATCAGCCCTTAGCACCCTGTCTTCCTCCCGCCCAGATAAAAGGAGTGAACAGTGTGCTAGTTTATGGCTTTCGGGGGTCACTACACCTTTGAGGTGGCCTCCTTTGATGAGTATTCACCTGTGGCCATTCTTCCTATTACTCAGAATCACACCTGCGGAAGCCATGCATGAAGGTGCCCTGTGCTTACTGGAGTCTACACAGTGGGACCGGACTCCCCAAGGACATGTAAGATAACTTAGGCTGCCCCAGCCTGCCACCTCTACCCCACCTCTATATTGACCTCAGAAGACTAGGAAGCCACTGTGGCCATAGAGCAGGACACAGCACAAAAAGCCATATCGATTTGCTGTGATTCCCTTCAAAAGCAGAACATATTTTCCACTCTCTAAATCTTGTTAGTTTAAAAATTCTGCCAGTTTTAGGGACAGAGATGAGACAAGATTTCACATCACAGTCTAGGCTGTCTTAGAACTTACTATATGGCCCTCAAACCTGCAGCTTACCCTCTCTCCTCAGCCTCCTGGTGATAGTCCATATGTGAGCCATCCAGGCTCTTGGACTTTGCTTTCATTTTACTTTAATGTCCAGCTGATGAGATGGATCAACACATAAAAGGCACTTGTCATCAATCCTGAAGACCTGAGTTCTATCCCTAGGACCTACAAGATGGAAAGAGAACTGGCTTCCACAAGTTTTGCTGTGGCCTCCACATATGTACTGTGTTATACACATACACACAACACACACACACACACACACACACACACACACACACACACACTTTCAAAAATTGACTGTATGTATTTCCTGAATGTTGTACTATCATATAAGGATATTTCATATAAATATGTGTTGTAAGTTGAGCATATTCACGACAGTTATTACTGTTATTTGTCTATTTATCTATCCCAGATATCTGGCAAAGGAGGAACAGATGATGAATGTTCATTGGGATTCTTTCTGGTCATAAAGAAGAAAGCAATGTTGTTTGCAGGTAAATGATGTAACTGGAGGAAATCACACTAAGTAAATTAACCCAGTCTCAGAAAGACAAATGACATGTTTGCTATCATTGGGGGTTCTTTTTTTCTGGTTTTTCGAGACAGGGTTTCTCTGTGTAGCTTTGGAGCCTATCCTGGCGCTGGGCTATGTAGACCAGGCTGAACTTGAACTCACAGAGATCCCCCTGCCTCTGCCTCTGCCTCTGCCTCCCATGTCCCAGGATTAAAGGCATTCGCCATCACTGCCCGGCTCACTGGGGTGTCTTAGATTTTATATAGATGCATAAAATCATGTATGGGTTATATGTGACCTGAGAGTAGAAGCAAGACCATTGGGGAACAAAGAGGATTAATGAGAGGGGAGAAGGGTGAAGGGAGTAGGAGACTACGGGCGGGGGAGCTCTAGGCTGGTTGTAAGGTAGGACTCTGTGGCTCCTTCGGAAGCTTCTCAAATGCTTTCGGGATCAAATCTGTGATAACCTGAGGGATTATGAGAGGCAAGACTCCTTCCACGCAGGGAGATCACAGACTTGAACTATGTTACCTCTAGCAAGATAAAAGGGACCCAAGCTGAGACTACAACTTCCTAGCCAAGTCCTATCCTGACTGTCAACCCTACACACTCACCAACAGAAAGATGGCAGTAGTTAAGGCTGTTGAGCTACATGTCTGCTCTGCTTACAGGGTAGAACCAACACAGGGGTGTAGGCAGGGAAGGTGGTTATTGAAGCATTGGAGAAATAAAGGCTGAAGGAGGTCAAGTATTGATGGGGGAAGTCCTTCTATGTATATGTTTGTCTTATTGGTTGATAAATAAGACACTGTTGGCCAAGAGGGAAGCAAGTTAGGCGGAACTAGGAGACAAGGAGGATTTTGGGAAATGAAGGAAAGGGAGAGAGTGGTCACCATGTGATCCCTGGAAGAAAGAATGCATAAGGCCGACATCTTTGGTAAGATAAGTCCTTATAAAATTATATAGGTTAGTAGTTATGATCGATAATTAAGATTGAGCTAGTAAATAAGAAATCCTAGTCATTGGCCAACAGCATTGTAACTAATATTAAGTCTCTGTATGTTATTTGGGGGCCCTAAAGCGGCTGCAGAACCCAAGTGGCAGGCAGAAAGAGTTATCATTACAAAGTATCAGCTTAAGGTCAAAGAGCTTTTGAAGACTGGGTCCAAAGTTAAGTCTGCCTTCTGCTGACCCTACACTCTTTGTGTTCTTGAGTCTCCAGGTGTTGGACAGGGGTGAAAGGCTGTTACCCCAGGTCTCAGGAACATGGGACTTCTGCTGGTCAGTGAGTGGGGAAGTAGGTCTGTGGTCTCCAGAAGTTTACATATGATGACAGGGAGTCCTCAGCACTTCCCATCCTTGCCCTCATGTCCTCATGTGTGTGGCTGGACACCGTGATGGGTGAGGAAGTCTGCTTGCTTCTAGAGACAGAGGTTTGGTTGGAAGCAGATGAGACATTTCCTACTGAGGTGGACTGCTTAAAAGACATGCCTACCAAATAAACAGGATCCTAGCTGCAAGCTCAAACAGGCACTTCAAACATCCCCAATGGAACAGAGACCAGACAGGAAGATATCAAATGAGGAAATACAAATAGAGTTTGATAAGCACAGGGTCACAAAATCATTAACTTCTATGTACAACCACTAAGGTGGTACAGTTCTATTTAAAAGTATTCTCTTTTAAATAAGAATTATAAGCATAATAAAAAAATAAAATGTAAATTATTTAATGTGTCTATGTGAGTATATACTACATAGATGCTGGTACCCCAAGGGACCAAAGAAGGTATAGGATCCCCCAAAGATGGAGTCACAGGCAGCTATGAGCAGCCTGATGTGGGGACTAAGAATTGAACTTAGATCCTCTGGAAGAACAGCACCATTGAACCACAAATTTAGCTTCCACAAATATTCATAAGTACATTCTCATGGCTGGAAATGACCTATATCTCAGTTCTTAACATTTTTGTAAACTTTATTCATTTGTGTATTTTAGTGATTGTGATCAAATACCGGGCCTTGTACAAAAGAGTTTACCAATGAGCTACATCTCCAGTCTCACATATTAGAAAACTCTCCAAGTAAAGGATCATTCACTTCCTTATTCATTAAAAATAATTCAGTAATGAATATCCATTTGGATGCTACAAGGAGCCAGTCATAGTACCCAATTTTGGTGATAAAACAGTGAAAATATTTAATGACAATGAAATTAATCTCCTTATGGTTTAAAGTCGAGTAGGCAGAAGAAAAAAATGAATAAATGACAATGTACTTGAGTGAGTGCTTAAGTTACGAAGGGAAAAAAGTAGATGAGGGCTTTAGAAG